TTTTCTGTTTCCAGATGGTTCCTAAACAGTCAATGACTACTCTGCTCTGTTAAAGCAGGAAAGGCCAGGGGCAGGGTCCCTGCTAAAGTAGAATCGACTGCAGCATCTGTTAATTATTGCCCCTGAATGCTGCGAGAGAGCTTTTGCCTCCCCATCCCTCTCTCCTCTTCTGTCCTTTTGTTCTCTTTCCCTTCCTAACTTTAACCGAACATGTGCGTTGGATGCGCGTACATGCGCGCGTACATGCGTATTCCTGTTTATAATAAACAACTGACAGATGCTGCAGACTCTAATCTTGAATGAACTAAAACTATATGAATTGATGAACTTTTACTTTGGTGTTTCCATCAACGTGTTAGTAATGATACAGACCTCAGTATCAGCACCTGTATACTTTCTAACCACACAGTGTTTGCTTTTTGCACTTTGCAAGTGGGTTAGTTGCTGCTCTGCGCGCATGAGATGACACAGATTCTCTATTGACAAAATAAGACAAACCTGGATTTACAGGAATAAAAAAAACAAAACAATGTACATTCTGCATAAATGCGTCTGTGGATCTACAGACATCAGTGAAGTGAAGAAATCTGCCATTTTATGTTTTTTCTTCTCCATTCACTAGCTGTGAGCAGTTGTGCTGAGTAGCTAAGCTTTTAGCTGAGGTGAAGGCAAGCAGTCATGTCAGGATTCTTAAATAGAAAACCACATAAATGTTTAATGAAATTTGCCAAATTTGGTCGTTCGAGACCCTCAACAGAACAATGTATCCAGAAGCACTCTCCTGTCAGATCAACAGCTATGGTCTCTCTACCATGTACTGTACTAACATGCTACTTTGGGAAGGCATTGGGTAAGATAACCTCTGAAAGAAATGGCAATTTATTTTAAGAATCATTTTTTTTGAAGAGGAGATGAGGATGTGAGCTGAATATACATGCTATTTTAGTGTTAATGCATTTGATTCAGTGTCTCGTATTACAACAAGATCTGTAAACTTATATACATCAAGGTAAAAGAAACTATGATGAAGATCCAGGAGTATTCTGGAGTTCTCCTTATTATAGGCAACCTAAATGGGACTATCAATTACAGATATTATGAGTATGACATTTTTTCTGTCCTCCATCCTTTGTGTTGTTTTGTTGGAAGCTTATTTTTACCAGTGTATGCAGGGGCCAGGAGCTGTGTGGGTTGGTTTCATGAGACAGAATGTGTGGGACGCCCACAGTGGAGCCAAGTCAGAGGCAGCAGTAAAAACAAAACAAAACATGTCAATGGTCAGGAACCAGAGCAGAAAGGAAGTCAGTAAACATTGCAACAGGCTTTCCAGGTCAACCACTATTTCAAAGAGGCAGGAATAATAACAAGATACTTTAACCATGTTTATCAAAAATGACTGTCCCATTACCGTTGACATAAATAATATATTGATGAATTTATTTAACTATAGTATACAGTCTTGAGACACTTACCATACTCCATGTGAAATATCTCTTATATGCCAAGGATCCGATTACTGAAGGCCAGGAAAATCAAACTAGCCATCATTTCTTTGAACTAACCTCCAATACTGACATCTCTCAATGCAGGCCAACACACACCTATGGAAACGTCTGGGATTTACCAATAACTTTAATCTTACAAACATTTGGCATAAACTTTTTTTTAAATTTGGGGAAATGAATAACCAGCATAAATACACAGGCTGAACCACATGCAACCCTACATGAACTCTATAGCTAATTTTATCAGAACTATCCTGGGAACCACATTAGGTGCTATCATGGAGGTCTAAAGGAGAATTGGTAAGCATAGTCACCGACTGATATATAAAAGTAAAATTGAATAAGCTCAGAAACTACCATTTAGGGTGCATTCAGACCAGGAAAGTCCACTAGTTCACTTGCTTTGTTCTGGACCAAATACAACGTTGATATTTTTTGTTTGGTATGGTTCGCTTTCACGCTGCCCTTTTTGCAGGAGAACCAGAATTTATAAACAAAACCACATGTGTGCTGAGGTAACACTGGTATAGGTAATTCTGGAGCGAGAAAAGCAGGAACCTTTCGATTCACGGAGAGAGCACGCTCTTATGTGCGAGTACCATGGCATGCTGACAGTGGCACTGCGGGGAGGACAGATCAAAGAGAAAGGCAATGTCCATACAACCAGATGAACAGATTGTTACATCAGAAAATATTACTGCTAACATTACTGCATCCTGCTAAGTGTAGTTCTATCACACTCTGCATAGCCACACAGTGTAGATATCTAGATGCAGTTATTAGTGTAATTAAAGACGCAATCTGCACTGACTACTAGAGCCTGTTAACCCAGAGCCCGCAGTTTGGAACTGGGCCGAGACCCCCTCTTAGGGTACTTTCACACCTGCCTTGTTTAGTTCGGTTGAATGGCACTAGAGTTCGTTTTGCCCCTTGGTGCGGTTCGTTTGGGCAGGTGTGAATGCAGCAGTCGCACTCGGGTGTGCACCAAAAGCGGACCAAACAAACTAACTCTGGTGCGGTTCACCTGTGGTTTGAAAGCAAACGAACCAAACACAGGATTTTACAATAGCAGAGATGTGATCTGAGCATCATTTCCAAAGCACTAATAAATCCATCTGCTAACAGCGACACGTGTTCACCGATCTTATAATTGATCTGTATAAGCCGCTATGTTTATAAAAATCATTTTATATGGTATGGCCTACTTGTCAGCGCGGGTATTTCCCTGATTAATAGGTTAAAATCTGTTAAAAAAAGAGGTCAAGTAGTATTCAGTTTACCCTGTCGGTTCATTAAGTCCATAAAAAATGTGTGACAGCGATACCACAGTATACTATAGGCGAATTATTACTGTACATGTCCTGTTTTTACTTTATTATTCATAATAGGCTATGCGGTCGATCTGCTGCCTAGCATTGCTAATCATGCTTATAATAAATTTTTACTTCGTGAGCTCTTTGCGATACAGATCAGAAGCGTTAAAGTGCTGCACAAACTTCTGTCAGTCACTGGAGTTTGATTTCCCCACGTGGGTCCTGATGATGCAGGATGACAGTCGCCAAAGCTGTCCAATCAACAAGTTACCTGTACCAAGGGTGCAAATGAACCTGAGTTCAACTCAATCGAACCAAACAAGCATCAGAGGGAATCATCTCCTGTTGCCCTGCTCCAAAGCTCTTGTTCTCAATAGCAATAAGAACATTTAAAGGTAGTTCTTCAGCCTACTGATAACACTGAAGTGGCACAGCAATGTCATGACTTTATAGAACCAAATATGCTACAAGGCTGCTACTGATTCAGATTTTAACCCGTATTATACTTGCAGATAGGCAAAAAAACAAACAATAAAATAACATATTTGTTTAATACAGGATAATTGGTTGACAAAATATATTTTTAAAAACACCTCTAAACACTTTCACCCAGGAGTTGAGATCATCAAAAACGATCAGAAAACTGATTCATGCCTTTATTTCAGGCCGACTCTATATTGTAACACACTTTTTACTGGTCTCCTACAAAAAAACGGAGAGACTTCCGCTTATTTAGCTCGACTATTAACCAAAACCGAGAGGAGAGCGCTCATTATTCCAGTTCTAGCTGCTCTGCACTGGCTCCCTGTAACATTATAGCAACATCATGTAAGATTTGGTGTAATTTGGCACCCCGAGTGTACCTGACTGCTGACGTAAATAAGGACAGCTGGACACGTGCATTGTTATGATTGTATTACTTATGATGCACAACTAGCAAGTGGACAACTTTGCTAACACAGCCAAACATAAAGTGCAACAACACAAGACACAGCAATATTACTTTACTACTCCAACAGAAAGAATGCCAGCCGGCATCCAGGAGCCTCTTGCTTGATCACTCGCCTTTTCTCTTCTTAGATTTATCCATCAAAATCCTCTTTTTTTCTCTGCCATGTTGCTTTATGTTGCTCGCTGGCCCAGCTGTTATTTTAAAAAGTGATACAATGTTGCTCGGTCACTCGCCCATATCTAGCAATCTTGAGGTGACGTTAACAAACTTAGGAGGCTACACTCGTTACTGTACGAGTACTGTCTCTGCTTTTTGCTTCTTCTTATAGCTTGCTTGCTGAAGAGTCGTGTTGGTGTGTGATGTAGTGCCGTAAATGCCAAATGATGCCGTTCTGGTGACAGATTTCCTGCCTGGGAGCCCAAAGCTACATAGTGCTATAACAGGCGCTGCGGCCCAGAGTAGCAATTACAGAGTGTACCATCAAAATGATTTTAGGCTGTTATTTTAAGATAAAATTACTAAATAATGTTGCTTTAATAATTGACTTTAAGGTCCTCCTCCTAATATACAAAGCCCTTAATGAGCTAACGCTATATTGCTAACTCCCTTGTTAACTACTTGCCTTTAAGAGCACTGCAATTATCTGCTGCTGGTTTCTTGGAGGTTCCCAGAGAAAAGAAAATATGGGCTTCCGCCATTTGTCAATTACGTCCCAAAGCTATGGAACATACTACCTGTAGATATCAGGGAACGAGCTTGCTAAATATTTTTACAAGAAAGCTAAAAAACGTATCTCTGCACTTTAATTAGCTATGACTTTCCTAATACAGGCTGGAAACTCCTTCTGCACTTTGCTTCGCACTTATGCACTGCTACACTAGCTGTATTTTACCGTCTTTTCCTTTTATTCTATTTTCATCTTTATTTTTACTATTATTAATCAGTGGTCTTTATTTTCCATCTTATATTATGCATTCCTCATTTTTGTCTTGTTTTTACTATTATCATCAAGTGGGTTTTATTCTCCATTGTATTTTACATTAATTGTGGCGTTCTATCCCTGTTTTTATGTTAATTCTATGTCTACTTTCATGTGAAGCACTAATTTTATTGTGGTAATGCACTCTGAGCTGCGTGTATAAAAGGTGCTAAACAAATAAAGTGTATTATTATTAGTATTATCTACAGTGCCCGTCACCTAAAATTAAAACTTAATTATATCTCCCTTACTTTTCATGTCATCCAGATCGGCACTGGCCAACATCTGGGCCTCAGCCTCATCAGTGGGCACCTGCTGGTAGATGGCTGTCTCCAGAGCAGTCATGCTGCCTATGCAGATCCGCTCCCGCAGGTCATAGTTGCTCCGCTGGGCGCCCGCCAGGCGATGGTGGATGGGCTTCCTACAGAACCAGCCGCGGGTCATGGTTGAACTTGAGGGATCTGATCCTGGAACACTGACAAAAAGCAAATATAGATATTGGTAAAAAAAAATTTAAAATTATAAAATGTTGTGACAATAAGCTCCACATCATACGACATTGGGAAATAATGTCATACGAATGTGTTGAAATTTAGAGAATTAAATGAAGCTGCTGACTGAAATGCTCTGTGTTGTGCCTCTTGGTTGCATTGCTGTCTCTTCACCAGTAGAGGGCTTCACAACACAGCAGCAGGCCAGGATCTCCTCACCAACCCCCTGAGTCATCCTCGGCTGCGTTCACTCAAAACCCATCTTGCATGGTACAGGCGGTGGCGTTTCTGGGCTTTTATCCAACCAGGCATTGTCAGACACAAATACCTGAATCAGCATGGGGCCCCTCACATCCCAGCACCAAACTTCATGATGGTTATCATGTTTGCTGGACAAATGAGTGTTCTAGTACCTACAATTCAGCTGGAGCCGTAAGCATCACAGCCTTAAGAGCTTTATATATAGGTTATTAGTGTGTGTTGATATGTTTGATGTTTACATTCCCAATGAAACATTTAAGTTGCTAATTTAAAGTTCACATCTGAGTCTATGCATGCAATAAGAGCAGAAACAATCTGTGTTAGAAGAGAATCGAAAATATCCTATCTTCTTGTCGGCTTGATTCTGTTTTCTGTTGCTTGTATCTTTTGCTGCTCAGAAAAGCATTTCTTTATTAAAATTGTACATTTAACATTTACATTTGATGCTGGGAGTCAGTTCTGAATTTAGAAAGAAAAATAAACCATTAAAAATGAATTCAATTATCTTTAATCCAGCTTTGATATCTGTATTCCTTCTTATAGCATGGCCAGCAACACTCATTTCTGTCAGGCTGGCAGGCGGCTGATAAATTTGAAAGTACACCACAAACATTGTTCTAACCAATCCACGGTAAACCCATCTACAAGGCATATTAAACGGCAGGTAACCATAGCAACGTACTTCTGTGTAACATCTGTTTCATTCTACATTATCCACTACATTAACACTCCCTGGTGAAACAGACTTATTAAATGGATAATAATAAAAAGGACAAACGACCTTTGAAGCTGCACAATCTACTATTATAGGAATCAATCACAATGGATCAAAAGACAGTGTGTAATGTGAAAGGAGTTGCTCACAGTGATGAACCCACAGCGCATTTTCACCCAACTCTGCAGTTCAGCTCGGCATTTCCAAGCTGATTGTTTTAGTTTTATGGCCCTCAACTTTGTTTCATTAGCACTGCTCTCATCATCCTTGTTTCCAGCCACAGCCGGCTGCTGTTTACCGCAAAAAAGCCCCAACACAGAGCTAAAAGGAGAGTAAATACTGGACTGACGTTCATCAGGTGGCCAAAAACTCAAGACCAAATGAATGCTAATTTTGCGCATCTTGCCAAAATATTAAAAAGGCTATAACTACTTTAAGAGATGATTTATTAAATTTATCAATGTTTTGTTTACAGCCTTTTCAGCTGACCAAAATTATATGATTCAACAGTCTCATTAATTTCCTATGGATGTGTTTTGGAACATGAAGTAGTTGAGGATAAATCAATATAACCTGTGTTGACTACAGAAATTGGCCTTTCATACAGCAGACATTTTACCTTGCTATAGCAGCAAAGGCACGGGTGTTACTAATTACATGAACGTGTTTTTAGCCACACGAGGGGGCAGCAGTCTAAGCTATAAACACAACACTGACAAATTATCATCTTATAAAGCTCGTCGGCGAAGAGAAGACACGTAGCAACATTACCATTCTCTCAAGTCGCCCTGACGAGTGGAAGTCCAATGTTCACTCATCTTTTAGCTGTGTGATTTGCACCCGTTCTTAGTTTAGCAAAGCAGTTTGCTGAAAGATGCTTAGTAGAGGAAGGCTCAGTAGAAGTGGGAGGAGCCGCAGAGCCAGGAGATAATTCTCTGTAGGTTTGCTACTACATGCGATGCCTTTCACAAAATATTATTTGATTTGTTTAGATAAAAAACATTAATAATATAATATTGCAGTGTGCCCCAAGTCTATGGAATAAATACTGTCCCAAATGTATTGTAGCTGTGTGGAAAAGTTTGAATGTGTATCTGAATATCTGAAAAGGCCAAAGTTTACAGGTACGGGTCGATTCTACAGGTACAAAACAAACCTACAGTTACAAGCACTTTTATCCCACATTTGACCATCCAATCAGGAATATCAGTTGACCATCCAATCACAGATTCGCAGTCTGTCACATTGCTGTAAAGTTAGACTACAGTCATGTTGAACAGAACATTGAGGCTAAGACAAAAATATATTTCAATCCACGTCGTCACGTAAAAGCAAAAAAACTAGGGAGAAAAGTAAACACAAGTACTCGTTTTGGATCAACATAAATTAGGCAAGCAAAGAATTATCACTCTGCTTTGGTTTGTGATATATATATATGGATTATGGAAATGCATTCACTGTCTGTTATTTTGAAGCCAAAACTCCCTGCAAGAAGGCCCACCTCCCTGGATCTGTGATTGGATGGTGAACATTCCTGATTGGATAATCAAATGAGATCTGACAATGAGATGGGACAAAACTACTTGTAACTGTAGGTTTGTTTTGTACCTGTAGATAGTGACTGGTCTTAAGACCACGTTTTGAAGGTCTTGCTTTCGTCTCGGACTGGACCACATTGGTACTCCGTTTCGGACATTGAGGACTCTGGATTTTATTTCAAGACCAGCCAATATCAATAAATTGCTTTTGCATTGTCTGATTTATTTGTTAACATCATAACTTTGATTGGATGTAAAACATATTTCTTTAAATGCAACCAATAACTGGTTAACCAATTGGTCTTGACTTGGTCTCGGTTTGGGCGGTCATGACTACAACACTACCTGTAGAATAGTACCGTACCTGTAAACTTTGGGATTTTCAGATATTCAGAATCACATTCAAACATTTTCACACACAAAATTTATTCGATACAAGTCCTCCCTTTTAACTGAATCAATGTCCTAGTAGTACCTACATGTACTACTACTTGTATAGAAACCCGTGTAAGTCTGCAGTACAAACAGAACAAGCTGAGATGTTGTAATAGCCGACCTGCTGCAAGCGGCTTCCTCTCCATCCTCGTTCTGTCCCAAAACAGCAATTTCCCCATTACGAGTCTCCCCCTTTGTCAGAATGGATGTGGCTTTCGTTGACAATTGATGTTGTTCGTTTTCCATGTGAAAGGTAGTAAGTGGAAGGGGTTCCTCCAAGTCCTCTTGGCTCCCCAAACTAAACTGAGAGGAAGAGGAAAATCAGTAAGAATAGAGGAATATGCTAATACCTGGCTATTCTGTGGTAATAGCACTCCTGCACCAGTTCAGTTGCACATGTTCACGACTTGGCCGTCTCAGGATCAGCCTGCATAAACTGTATGAATTTAGCCACCTTTACACGGTAGATGTCCCATGTCTTCTCCGTCTTATTTTACCTGTGGCTGGACATCAAGTAGCTCTGTGGGTGTGGCAGCCACCCCCTGTCCGTCGGTCTCAGACTCCGCTTCTTCCTCGTCTACCTCGTGGATGGTCGGTGTAACATTGGAGGGGGCCAGAGACGTCTTTTTTTTCTTCCGTTTCTTTTTGCGCCTTCTGTCCGTGCTGTGCACCCTCTTGCGTAAACGCTGGGGCACGGGCAGGTGGGTGGATAAGGGGTGGTGTGTATGGTGAAATGTGTGTCTGTGATCTGCGGTTCCAACAAAAAAAGAAAAAATCAATAGTACATCATTGTGTCAAATGTTGACATTATGTCTACTGACTGTGTAGATCGTATCATGCAGTGTGTCATGATTTGTCCATTAACTGTCTCTCAGGTTTAGCAACACAAAGTACGAGTCAAGTGTGTAATTGATATTTATGTGGATTTGATGTGAAGCTAAGCTCACAGTGCAAATGGTAAGTCACAAGCTCTCCTCATCATGGGAGGTTGTAATACTGAAACACATTTCAGCCTGTCCTGAATACGCCTGGACCTATTACATATTGATTTAACACAGAATAATTCCAACCAAGACTAACAATAACCTTGAAATCAGTTGTATAGCTACAGCACCATATATAAATACTTAGTCTACAACACACACTGCCTTTCAGGAACAAGTACTGTTTTTTAAGCCACAGGCTTTTAAATTCATTTAATAAAACATGCAAAGAAAAAAAATTGGTCTATTCTCAGAAGAGATGCCCTCTATCCCTTTTAAACACTTCGAAGACACAACGCAAACAAAAGCTTTAGATTTTAATTAGTCTGCAATAATGGAGAAATGCACTGTTTAATAAACATCAAAAGAAAGCAGCTCTAGCTAATCTTAGCCACTATTATCTCCTGCCAGAGTATGTGGTATCTATCTGCTAATCTCTCTAATACTAATCCATGATAAACTCACATATAAGGAATCTGGTGCCCTGCTCGAAATCTCTTTACATAATACAGGTCACACTATGATGTACAAGATCAAGATCAGACGTGTATTTATGCACACATGAACACATGTATATAATTGTATTACGATATGACAAAAATAATTAATATGGATGTTATTGGAACAAGACTTCAGGCATGCTAGTGAGGCTCAGTGAGGCTGCACTTAGGCACTTTATACTAACGGCAGCATGCTAAAATGGTCACAAATACAACGCTAGCATGCTGATCTTTCGCAGGAATGATGTTTACCATGTTCACCATCTCGGCTAGGTGTGTACGCATGCTAACATAAGCTAATCAGTAACGTTTTATGTTGACCAACGCTGTGCCAAGCTAAAATGTTTGGCACTGTCGCTCCACTGAACTGATATCAACCCTCCATCAAACTGCCGGTAAGACAGCGAACAAGCCGACCCCCAAATGTCAAAGTAACGGAGCTTTACTGGAATTAGTGTAATGTCAACACTGTATTTCAAATTGTCATCCCTTACACTACTCATTACTGAAAGAAAAGCAGAGGTGGGACCAAGTTCTTGTTTTACATGTCACAAGTCTCAAGTCTTAGCACTCAAGTCCCAAGTCGAGCCCCAAGTCCAGATCGATCAAGTCAAGCAAGTCCCAGTCAAGTCACAAGTCAAGACCGACAAGTCTTAAAATTTGAGTTTTGAGTCCTAAACAAGTCTTAATGCGCTCTTCACCAAATTTAAAACCCTGTCATATTTTTAACAAGAGTTAAAAATGAAAAAAGCAGTACTGAATGAAGGGTTACCCTGCACAGAAAAAAGGCAGAGGTGCAGTTTCATAATTTCATGAATTAAAATTTAAATTTTCATGTAATGATGCCCAAATATCTTCATCACAATTATTTTGGTCAATATTGAGATCACAGTTATTCAACAGGATTATTGACTTTAGGAAACATCATTGATTGAAATTTAATACCTCGTTTTTAAAAACTATTATATATGCATCAACCCGAAAAGCCGTCGTAATTGAGATTAAAATTGAATTATCACAGCGCTATGCTGATGCGCTGCGCAGTTTTTTTCTATAGCCTATCATAATTCATATTTGGGGAGGGAGGGTGTCAAATCAGCTCGAGTCAAAAGGCTCAAGTCCAAGTGAAGTCACGAGTCACTGCCGTTAAAGTCAATGTCGAGTCGCAAGTCTTCTTTGATTTTGTCAAGTCTAACGTCATCGTTTTTGTAACTCGAGTCTGACTCGAGTCCAAGTCATGCGACACGAGTCCACACCACTGAAAAAAGTAATCTGTCAAATGGAATAAACTAATGGCAACGAATGCATTCTTACTCTGAGTAGACAGCTTTCTGATAAAAATGTGGATCAATGCACTGGATTACAGAACAGTTTGAAGTGAAACTTCTTGTGTGATTGAAGGTATAATGTGTGCTTTTTACTTGTCAGCTGTACATAGTAGCTTTGCTTACATTCAAAGTCTTTCTCAGTGTAGTGTCGGCCCATCCTGTCTCCACTGGTGGAAGCAGAGTCACTGATGATGTCTCCGAAGCGCTCCACAGACAGCACTTTGTCCCAGTTCTCCTCCTCCTCCTCTTCTTCTTCTTGTTCCTCCGCTGAGCCCTCCTCATCTTCCTCCTCCACCTTCAGCTGAAGAAGGATGGAGAGAAAGGGGGCATTTTCACTTGAAAACAGTTGAAATCGCAAGAGAGAAAGAGTCAACAAGGTGAGAGCAGTAAAAGAGAAGAATTGCAAAAAGTAAAAGTGCATCAGAGGAAGCATAAAATGGAGATATCTTCATATGCGGGCTCTTCTGTCACAATCAGCAAGCAATAGCTGTGAATTTCAGACATTTCAGTTAAGTACGAATCATTCTCACTGTGTTTTAATTAAGAGCATATTTCCATGCCCATATTTCCATTTCCATTGCTCTGATTTTGAAGCTTGATGATTACACGAATTGTGCTACTATATTAGCCCAGTGGGTAATGCAATCAGACATTCTTGTGGCTAGCCCAAAACCCAGCTTGGCTCTGATGTCAGAGGTTAACAGCCACACATGCAGCAGATTCAAGCTAAATGAAAGTAAAATCCTAATCCAGGATGAACACGGAACAAACTAGAAGAGTCTCCACCAGGTGTCTCTGGGGACATGATGTGGGTGGGGATCAGGGAGTGAGGGCAGGCTGTGTGTCCAGTGTGCATGCATGAAAGTAACAGATTGAAGGGAAGAAATTTTCTTATATTCTTATTTAGATGTACGTAATGTTTTAAGTAAAGTGTTTTTGTACAGCACAGTCTCAGCTTTTCTCACTATTGTAACCGAGCGTCCTGGGTTCAAATGACTTCTCCAGTTTGTTAACATCAACTCTTCGGTTTAAACTTAATAAAGAAAACAATAAATAGCAAGAAAACGCCTGAATTTGAACATTCTTATTTATTAAGAATATTTTGTTGTAACACACCCCACAAAATAAAAAGCTCTCCCTACCTCCCTCTTCCCTCCCAAACAAAGAAGATTTGAACTCTCACTTGTCCCTCCCTCACAGTCAACATGGTGGTGGCAAAGACAACAGCAACAACAACAACAACAGGGATTTATTCACCTACTATGGCCTAACTTTAGACAATCATAACATGTCTGGTATGGAATTATTCTGGTTCAAGATGAGACCAAACTTTTCTATGGAGCTTTTAGTTTTTGTGACCACCAAAGACCAAAATGCACCCTGCAGCAGACTAGGTAAACTTTGTTTTTTGCCTAGCCTACTGCCAGAAATGCCTATTGCTACGTCGTAACGCATAATGTAAAATGGCGACTATTCCTGAAAAGAGCAAAGTCTAAGCTTTACGATAAGCTCAGTCAATAAAAAAGGTTTTTCGAAAAGTGTGAATCAACGCAACCACGAGAGGTCCTTGAGGATACAGTCATAAATGTGCAGAGAAAATATTAGGCTGATATGGTCCAGTAATATGCAAGACTAGCTGCAGATAGATACACACACACACACACACGACCAAAGGCATGATCGCCGGTAATTAATGTGATTAATGTTCCTCGACCGATTCTACAGTACATCTATGTTATTGTGAAACTGTCTCAACACACCACATGCAAGTATTTAAAATTGTGGACTGTGAATTGCAAAATAAATCTACCGCCAACAAAGCTTTTCATTGTGTCTGTGCAAATTTCAACCCACCACAGATGGCCCCACACCCTGTTTTCACTTTGTATTTCTCAAGGAGAAACCTTAAAAATGTATTTAAAATTAAAAATTTTAAAAAGAAAAGAAGAAGAAGAAAATAGGCAGATAGTGTCAGTTCATCCTTCACATCATGTATGGAGGACATCAAATCAATACAACAATCAAAGTGCTAAGCAGCAAAGAACTAATGCATCAGACATCCCCTGGAGACAGTGGAGGCTGAAGGGAGTGTCCTGCCACAGCCCTTTGGTGCCTCTGATAGGTCAAATCACTGGGACGGCTGCTTCCCCTGACTCAGATTGGTGCTGGCATGGTAAGCGCTCTGGCTACTGCTCTGTGGTCTCATATTTCTCTGTGCCAAGGCTCCATTACTCCCTAATTACCAGCGGGATGAAGGGACAGGATACGTTTAATGATCTGAGCTACCTATCTACACTATGCCGAGGCAGTCAGATGGGATACATAAAAGGACTATTTTTGATTGAGTGAGCAGTGAAAGCCTTGTTTTCACTGGCCATTTTGTTCATTATTTAAGGTGTTCTAAATTTTAATTTCAACATCTCTAACGCCCCCCCTCCTTTGCTTGCTCTGGTGAGCGCTGTTGATCAGTGGAAGACCCTGGATTTTATTTATAGATCTAATGTAATCCTCCCAGATGAGGCAGACGTTACAGTAAAGTGGCATCTTCTAAACCTGGTTTTGCTTTGTGCAAGCTCCAATGGTGCAAATAACTCAAAAACTCTTTCATGTCAGCTTTGAAGTCAGCTGGGGTTGAGGGACACAGGAGGAGGGCGACCCCAGCCCAGGTGCTAGAGGCACTATGTGAACAGGTTGCTATGTTATTGCTCTGCTAGCTGCCCTCATGCCCAGCCCGCTCTCATCCCACATGGTACACTTCAGCATCCGTATGAGACTCCCTGGGCTCTAAAGTAACTCCAATGTCACCCATCCGTGTCAGGTGACGTAGCATACACAAGCAAAAGTTACACAACGTTACATATGTGACATTATGACATGGATAAAGGCGGCAGCTAAATGACTAATTATTATTATTTCAACCCAAACCATGATCATTTCCTAAACCTAACCAAGTAGTTTTGGTGTCAGAACTTACTACGTATTAGCCCTCTTTCACTTGTTCCCTGCCAGAGTGTCTACTGTCTTCAGCCTAGCTAACCAGCAGGCCTTTGTTTCCTGCATTTTGGATTCACACCTGCAAGGTTCCTCTGAAACGTGACAGTGTTAAACAAGTGGTTGGTCTACAGTAACTTTTTTCAGGAGCATAGCTACAGCTGAAAACATGGAGGTCCTCTAAAACCCTTCTATAGTTAAGACTGCATCGATAGCCGTGTTTCCATCAACGTTTTTAATGCGCATTTTAAAGCATCGCATTAGACTATGTTGAGTGAACGGCAAAATTCGGGAAAAAAAATCGTTAATTTCGCAAAACGTTTTCAGGCTCGCTTGAGGTGGTTTTTGCCTTTGTCGAAAAAGAGTAAATGGAAGAGAAACACTTTTAACCGAATAAGTCTGATCAGCTGTTTCTGCTGTCGGCGTCTTTGTTGTGCAGAGTTCTGCGTGCCTGCAGAGAATTTCATGCACCTCGTGGCTGGTAACGCTCATTTGTGCTGAGGAAAGAGGTGGATGCGAATCTGGGCAGGTAGCCTTCATCATCTGTTCTGCCGAATTATGCATTCACCTCTTAAAGGTCCTTTTCAGATACTTTGCTCTGCACACTGATCAAATGGGGTTATCACCGCATATTTTTGCTGAATCTCAGTGAATGCTACTTCTACTGAGTGTAATAAAATATTAACGACTCTAAACGTTCATAATATACACTTCGAATAATTTTTTACCATGACGAAACCCACAAAGGATATTATAGCGTTTTAATGCATATCTCATCATTCTCAGCAGGCATGCAAAACTCAGCATAACACCGGATATTCCCATAACGTGCGGAGACATGGCTGGTAGCAGTTTGCCTGCTTGAAACACATTTCTGAGGACCTCTCTCCATTTCTAAGATCATTGGCCATCATTGGCCATCAGGTTCATGTGACTGGTTTTGTTTCTGGTTTGGAACCAATACGTCTTGTTTATTACAGCCATGTGTAACGTCAACTACTGATGTAACTACGCTCGCCGTAGCCTGGTTTATTCGCTCCAAACCAGCTGATGGAAACGCACATATTTTGCAGTTTATTTTTATTTTTTGCGCCATTTCAGAAGTCCGCTTAAAATACGCATGACAATTAGATGGAAACATGGCCATTGTCACCAGTTTAAAACCTAGTCACTACTTTGAGCTACTATATCCAATGTTTTCTGCATATTGATTCGTAACAGTATCAATACCACTTACTTTTTTTAACACGAAGCCATGGGCTATCAATGCATCTTGTTTTTGGCGTGCTGTAATAATTACTTGATTAAGCAATGAAGAAAAAAAAAGAAAGTTTAAATTTTTTTAAAAATCAATGAATTTTACCCTTTTTAATAGTAAACTGAATGCCTTTGTGCTTTGGACTATTGGTTGGACAAAACAAGGCACTGGATGGACATTTTCTGACATTTTATAACCCAAATAATTAAACAATGAAGTGAGAAAAATCTTACAAATAATCAGCAGTCAACAGCGTGGCTCCTTTGACATGTTGTATAAACCCACTGGAGCACAAAGGATTTATATAATCCATTTTCAGTCACCTATGTTGCCAACGTGGAGATGGAAATCTCCTAATATTAGTATTGTTTTAATGAATCCTGGATAAGAGCTCTCATCTCATCTCAGTCAGTGTTTGCACTGTGGGTTACCGTCTGCAGTATATCAAACACGTATATTTGCTGCATGACAAATCAACTATTCTGTTGCTGGTTTGGCCACTTCTAATATATTATGAGGAGGGGAGGCTTCAGTTATAACAGCCTGATCATCTGAACCAAACTGCGGTTCAGTTAAAAACATGCTGTCCAACCTCATCTCATGAACTGCCAAACTTCTACTGCACCATTAATATTTTATATTTAATGGAATGCCGAGCCAGAGAGATGCATTAAAATATTTATCAGCTGCTGACTAATCTGGAGGAGGGTGCGTGTGTCTTTTATGCGTTTGCCTTGTTTGTCAGGATGAAATGCCCTCGCATTGATGATCAGGAAAACCCTCTGGAGTTAGAGCATATTTAGGTTAGAGCTCAACGTGGCTTTGGATTACTGTTTTTAGTTGTCTATAATTATTATTACGGTTGGGGATTGTAATTAGGCTCGAGTTTAAAGTAACCATCAATATAAACAATTTGATTAATGTTAGAGTAGTACTGCTTACTGAAACTTGTTATATGAAAACAAACACCAAACAAACCTAATTCCATCCATCGTCAAACGCTTATCCTACGTACAGGGTTGCGGTGGCTGGAGCCAATCCGGCCGAGA